TTGATATTTGTTCAAAAACTACCTGTAATTCTTGTATTGCATTTTCTTTTCGTTAAATTAGATCTTATCTACTTACTCTATTACTATTTTCTTTTCTATTTTGTTTTGTTTTTAGTTGTTTGTTTTGTTGTATTAATATATTTAATTTTTATTTCGCAATTAGTTTCATTAAACCAGTAAACTAAAAAAATACCTAATGAAAATCGGATTTTAATAAGTTTTTGTGTTAATCACTACCGCTAAGTTATCGAAAAATTACTGACGTATTAAAGCCAACTAGATTAACCCTAGAACCACAAGGTGAAATGAGAGGAACAATTTTCACAATGTGAAGTCGCGGGCGATAATTTGTATTTTGCAAAAATAAAACATAGTTTTTATTTTTTGACCTAAAAAATTCGAGAGACCTAAAATAATAAACAAATACATACAGGGTGGGTTAAAAAATAAAAAGTTCTCAGTTTTGAAGTACCCTTCGTAGGGTGTTATATATTAAAATTAATAAAAACGTTAAGAATGGAAAAGGATATTGGTTTACGATTTACAGTCTTTACAAATGCTAAACTAATGTTCTGCACACATATTTTTTAAACAGTGAACACAAACATATCAGCCTTTTTCATTGCGTTTTCTTGAAATCACATCGAGGAGGCCCTTTCTAAATATTTGCAACATGTTGTTGTTCCTCTGGATATTCCATGTAATTCCGTATGGATTCCCTTAACTTTTTTTGCAGTCGTGGATTTAGTGCCCTTTGTTTCATGTGACCCTCTACTAGTAAATCAGCTGACGACTTTATAAATGTAGCTTAGGAAATTTTTTTATTACAATGGTTATGTCTATACCACAGCTTATTCACCAAACCATTGTATTTACGGCTCCTTCATCAAGCATACCATAAAAAAAATCATCTTGTTTTTCTAGCGACTGTTTTTGAGTGGAAAAGCTGATCGAGAATATCAACACCCCCCTTTGTACAGTTGTAGAACAAGATTATTTCTGGTTTACCCGTAGCTTGGTCAACATCGTTTTGAGAATGCATAGAAGAACGCATTTGCATCGTTTTGGGAAATGTGAAACAAAGGTCAACTTTATAGTAAATGCAAAGGCTGATAAGGAAATTTGTGAACGCTTTAAATCCAAATATTGAACAGGAATTTTCCATTTATTTTTGCGCAGGATTCCAACCATTGTAAAACCTTTTTTATAACAGTTTTTCAGCCAACTCACATGAGGGTACCCTGAATAATTTTAGTCAGCTTTAAAATATATTGTTGGGATTGACCCTTTTATGGATTTCGTTGTTCTTGTCCAATATATGGCACAGCAGAGCACATATACATACCGTAGTTATATGGCTTGCTGGGAATATACATTTTGAAGGGGCATCTTTCTATGAGCTTAGCAGTTACTCATCTGTGGTTAAATATTCTGAAGAAGTATAATTATTTTGACAACCCTGTATAAATATATCCCATAATTCTCTTAGAGAAGCAAATTTATCCAGGGCTTTACGTTCTGGCGAGTGGATTTATCACCGAAACGTATACAATTTATCAATATTCACAATTTAGGGTTTTTGTATTTCATAGGCGAGTTCGGATAGTCAGGGGCTGGAGCGGGACAAATTTTAGGGTGCTTTTAAATGACATTTAAGCGTGTTAAACTGACACTAATCGGACTAAACCGAACGCTAAAAGGGTCGTTTGGAGTTAAAAGTGTTAAAGGAGTTAAAGGAACTTGGCAGACCGAACGCAATGCTTATAGAATACTAAATGTCAAAATGTAAATTCCTTCAAATTACTTGTTATCTGTCTGCTTCATCTGTCATTTGCCTTTTACGGTGTATCGACAGACTTCAACTTCAAAATGAAATCCTCATCGTTTTGGTTGTTTCCTCGGGAAAAAAAAAATTTTAGTGAGCCGGTCCTTTGCGTTTCCCCAAAGAAAAGGAGTCTCGACATTGAAGGTAGGTAATCTAAATGCGGGTAGCTCGGAAAGGCTGATCAGTGGCAATCTGTCCACCATTTTTAATTTTCGCCGTTCCATTTTTTGGCTTTTCTGTATCTACGGGAATATGTGGAGAGACTTTTTGTACTGCAAACATTTCATTTAATGTGCGTTGAATGTAAAGTAACCGATTTTGCCCTAAGTGTGCCCTTTTTACTTTCAATTCTTCTGTGCAATTATTTTTTGACAAGTAAATTGCGACTTTTGTACTTTTATTTAGTTTGCTTGACTGTTAAGTTCCGATGATGGCATTTGTGCCCAAAGAGTTCGAATAATTTTAGTAAACTAGACAGGAATATCTTAGATATTCTTACAACTTTGCACACTCGGGAAACGTCTTTCATTCCTCCTCAACCTTTGTATTTATTAAAAATTCGAAATGGTTTTTTAACATGGTGCATCTAAATATCGAGACACCGAATTTTTCAGACTAGATATCTGTTAGTGAAAGATAGGTGTTTTTTAAAATACTAGCCAAATAGAGTAATTCAAACAAAGCGAGTAGCTCAGTTCTGTCTGTTTTTTGGGTTTAGTATCGACCAGTGAGGAACTTTGCTTTACGAACCTCAATTTCTTTATTTGTATTAAGTAAAATTATTTCGATAAGTTCTTTAGAAAAAAAAAAGGTGCCACAATTCTTTGATGCTATTTTTATTTTTAGCTTCTTCTTTTGGACCATATTCCTTCATGAAGTTCTTGTCCGCTTGGAAATCAAAGGTCAAATGAACCAAACAATTGTTTTTGTTCAATAATTAGGGATGGTTGTAATGTTCCACATCCATGGCATGGCATCTTGATCAATATCCAAATTATCATCTGCGTCAGCTTGATCTTGAAGTTCTCTTGGAACAAATTCGTCTTTAATATGATTGTTTTTCTTCTCTATCACTCAGATCATCGCATAGAGAGCTTTTTACAGTTCTTCATCAGTAAGCAGTTATTTGTTTGAATCCATATTTTTATTCTAATTAACAAAAAAACTTGATAAGGCACTATAGGAATAATATTAAAAAAAAACTTACCTACATAAAAACTTATTACGATAATCACAAGGTGGGTTCAAAAGCTGAAATGCCATTGCAAACACTAATAAAAGTGAAGTAATTTAAAAACGCACACTTCGAATATCAATCTGAAGTGAAGGTAGATACAAGCACAACTCTTCAGTTTCAAAAGAGCCACGAGCATGTCCAAAAATGTATGTGGTAGGGTCACCAGCGACACCATCTTGGAGTTCTAGAGTTATTATGTAAATAATTTAATTTATTAGTATCTATGTGGACTATTCACAATTATAGACTTTTGCTTATATTCTGTTTGGTAAAAGATAATAAGACCCGGTTTTTACTGTTTCCTGTTAGAATTGAATTCTCTTTCTAAATAAAAAATAGAAATTATAACATTCTGTTAAAAATTTTCAAGAAAGTCTTGAAAAAATGGTTAATGTTTAAACAACGCCACCTAGTGCTCGTTTAAACAACTGAATCAAAACTATATTAAAATATTTTAAATTAAAATTTGCTTTTTATCAATACTAAGTTTTTCAAAATCTGATAAACGACCCTGTAGTTATAATAGTTTTATTAAATTAAGTTTCCCAATCCCCCTTCAGTTATTTTATTAAATAGAGCAAAAAGTGGTGGATAAAACTTTTGTAAAATTTTCTAAAAATTACCGTTCTTTTATTATTATCATTATACTATTATTTGTTATAATTTTCTTTTAAGCCGTAGGAAAAATATTTTCTGAGATACAGCAGCTAAAAGAGTCCTTAATCAATCAATTCAATGCCTAGAAAAGAGCAGTTTGGCTTCTGTTATGGAGGCCCTATTGCTCCGATATGGCATGCAGGCCAAAACGTACAGTTCCGATCTGAAGGCAAGATTTAATCAGCTCAGTTCACTCTTTACGTCACAAAAGAGGACAAAAGAGGACAAAAGAGGACAAAAGAGGACAAAAGAGGACAAAAGAGGACAAAAGAGGACAAAAGAGGACAAAAGAGGACAAAAGAGGACAAAAGAGGACAAAAGAGGACAAAAGAGGACAAAAGAGGACAAAAGAGGACAAAAGAGGACAAAAGAGGACAAAAGAGGACAAAAGAGGACAAAAGAGGACAAAAGAGGACAAAAGAGGACAAAAGAGGACAAAAGAGGACAAAAGAGGACAAAAGAGGACAAAAGAGGACAAAAGAGGACAAAAGAGGACAAAAGAGGACAAAAGAGGACAAAAGAGGACAAAAGAGGACAACAGAGGACAACAGAGGACAACAGAGGACAAAAGAGGAGAGGTCAGATGTGAATCAGATCGAGCACTTCACGTTGAGTTATGGACTAAATCGATGGACTTCAAATTTCACTTAAATCTCACAAAAAACGTAGCATGAAGGGCCTCCATTGGATTATCTACGCTTACAGTTACAGTGATTCTAATTTATAGAAAATACATGTATTTGAGAAATATGGAAGCAAATTAATGATATGCTGCATCAGTCAGTACATGATCTAGTCCTACCTGACCTAAATATGGTTATAGTTGTATTTGTAACATAAACACCTATTTTGAAAGAATGGTTTTGTTATATAAGAATTCATATTTGCTTTTTATAATAAAACTTTTTTTGATAAAGTGATGTTTTGTTATAAGAAACAATTTTATTATTTATGTAGATGGTTAAAAAAAATAAAATTTTAGTCCCAAGTCTGCAGAATTTAGTTTAGTGATTTAAAAAGGTTGCAAAAATCGTTCGAAGTCGGTATCAAATTATTGGTTGAGCCGAAATTACAAAAAAAAATCGGATAATTTTCTTTTTTTTTTTTATAACTTAAAAACTACATAACTTTAAATAATCTTAAAATTGAATCTGAATCAATATAATACTCTCTAAAACATTTCCCATTTACCAGATATTACGCGAGAAAAAAAAATATACAAACTCGAATTTCGGACAAAGTATATATAAAAATAAACAAGCAAAATAGATGTATACTTACACTATATAATTTTGGTACAAAGAAATATCCGAAAAATTTAATCCGCTGGCGTAAACTTCCGAAGTTCAATACCGCCCTACCCATCACATAAAATTCATTAGTTTGATCTTCTAATGAATCCGTTTTAATTCCAAAAGCTGTTGTAGCAATAACATCGTTAGCAAAACGTGTAAAAATATCTTCCATATCTACGTCTAAAATTTCTTGTTCCTTCTTTAAAAAGTATCCACTTAAACTTTCGGCACATTCTGACATCAACATAAACATTACTTTCATTTTGCTACTTGTAAATGAGGGACTTAGAATTGGTCTCATCGTTCGCCATCTTTGACCTAAAAATTTATTTATAATCTTAAATATCTAGATCTATTATTAACAGTGTAAAATCCAAAAAGGAGTTCAGTAAGTGTTGGTAGGAATTTAGGAATTACAAGGTCCCAGGCGCAACTTCCCCATAAGGTCATTAGGCCAATGACCCACCAAATTTATTTCAAATAATTTTAAATATTTAATAATAAACTATTAGGGAATGGGTGGCTCAGTGGTAGAGTCTCTTCCTGCGGATCCAAGGGTCCCAGGTTCGAATTCCATCGTTGGCCTGGATTTTTTATTTAATTTAATTATTTAAAATTAATTCTGATGCCTTGGTAGGATTCCCCACTCGACCAATCACTGTTGGGTTCTAATTAACAGTGCTGTTCCTAAAGTGGCGCTGGGAAACAGTGACAAATCCTACACATAACACGAGGCTAATAACCTTAGTAGTTGATGTCGATGACAGCTGGATTTATAAAAGCTGATTCACGTGTAAACCAAGATATGATTACTGCATTTTTAAATAATGTTCAAAATTTTAATTAGCTATACTCGTTAAAAGCTATGTTTAAGCATATACACTTGTTATTTTTTTTTATTTTAGAAATACGTTTTAGGCCTTTAAGAGCAAACATAACGGGCGCTCTTCCGCCAAAAAACAATTTTACATTTGAAGCACTTAAAAAAAATTGTAAAAAAAATGGTTCAGGCCAATCGTTCTAAAAATGAACCAAGAATGACGCTAAACCGCGAAAAACTTAAATTTTTAAAGAAAAACAACAAAAATTTCAACTTTTTAACAACTTTAATTTTTTGGCTCTTTAGCGTCATTCTATAACAAATATCTTAACTATTTTCTAAATAACTTTTTTTTAAAAAGATTACCAATTTTAAACAGGACCGAAGATTAACATAGTTTTCATTCCGATACTAATTCTATTAAAACAATGATACCAGTGAATATGGCAACGCTGCTAGTCTATGAAACCCGTGGTAAAAAGGGTAGCTGCTTTTAGTTAAATTTGTTAATTCCTGTGTCGAAAAATAGGTAGTTGTTTTTGAAGAGGTGCGAAATTATTCTGATCGTCTTAGTTTGTTGTTGAGGCGTTGTTAGGTTTTTGTTTAATTTAGTTTTTAGTTAATTTATGAAATGAAAAATTCTGGAAGGCAAAAATGCTACCACAGCTGACAAATTTCTATTTTAATTGTTTGCTGCCAGAGTTAGTAAATCCTAGAGAAATACGACATGTGCCAATTAGGGAAAAGAGATTGTCAAGAATTTTGCCAGCTTAAAAAAATGTGTAATATACAGGGTGTTTCTAAATACATGCGACAAAATTCAGGAAGTGATTGCTCGTATGAAATTAAGATGGGTCTTTCTTATAACAAAATTACAGAATTTCAAGTTTCTAGCTTTACTGAAATTTAAAAAAAAAAAAAAAAAACTTAATTTTAGTCACCACCTTTTAAGGGTGATATCTCGAAATCGGCAATGGAAAAAATTTTAATTTTCCGTCCTTCTTTTTATAAAGTTCGCGAAATTGACTGTAGTTGGCATGTCAAACAGTAAGGCTGTTAATTTTCTATGTAACTCAATGTAAAATTGTGATTTTTTTTATTGGTAAAAAGGTTCAAAATAATGTGAAAAAAAGACTTGAGTACAAGTAACATGAGTGACAAAAACCATCAAACCATCAAACACAAGGAGAAATTCATTCAATGTCATTTTAAAACTTCTAATGTAAGTAAAAAAATGTGTTTATGTCTAAATACACTCACCGGCACGAAAAACGGGCACCCCATAATTTTTTATTCAAATGCCTCAATTTTATATTTGTTGCATTGTAACTTTTGTCAACGATAGGTATGGAGTGGTACATGATTTTAAAATAAATTTATTAACAGTTACACAATTATCATCAGAAACACAAAAAGCAATTTAAAAAAAACAGTATTTAATACTTGTCTGTCTAATTAATACCTCGTATTACCTCCATGAGCCTGTATAATAACATTCATTCTTCTATGCATACTGTTAATCAAGTTAAATAATTCATTCTGTGGAATTGCTTCCCATTCCTTAAAAGTAACTCTGAACTGATCCAAGGTAAGAGGAAAAGGTACCCGGCCTCGAATCCTTCTACCGAGCATATTCCAAACATGCTCGATGGGATTTAGATCGGGACTGCGCGCTGGCCATGCCATCATGCATCAGTATGAAGTCGTCACCAATAAATGATGCATATGGGACAACTTATTCTTGTAGGACCTTATTTATGTACCTATCCGCAGTTACAGATCCCCTAGGAACCATGTACAATTCTGTACGCGCCTCCAAAGATATTCCAGCTCACACCATAACCGAACCCCCTTGAAAAGTTACCCTAGGGCTAAAAGTACACTCGGCATATCGTTTACCTGTCTTTCTGCACTCTTTTGCGACCATCTGGTGATTGTAAGCAAAATCTGGATTCATTGGTAAACAACACAAAGCTCCAGTCGTCTGCATTCCAATTTTGATGCTCCCTAGCGAATTGTAATCTGGCTACACGATGCTCCCTGGAAAGTTCAGGTCCTACAGCGGGTCTTCGAGATCTCATATTAGCTTCATTTAACCTTCTTCTAACTGTTCGTTTACTAACATTTACGTTTCTGACATGTTCAAGGTTATTTATAATCTCTACAGCAGTTGTGTGACGATTTCTTAGTGCTGAAGATATCATAAAACGGTCATCTCGATGAGTAGTTCTTCTCTGAGGACCGGTTCCAGGACGTCGAGTATAAAATCCCGTCTCTATAAAACGTATATATACACGTTGCACGGTAGTGCGTGATACCCCGAATCTGCTAGTCACCTAAATTTGACTCTTCCGTCTTGAATAAGAGCAACAATAGATGCAAGTTTCTGCGCTTAAAGACATCTTAAAATTCGCACTATTTGACATAACCAAGTACTAAACCATAGAATATAATAAACACTTAACTTAACCTTTAATGTCATCGTGAAAATCATTGAAAATGCATAGCCTATTTGGAACACTGAAGTAAGGGCAATATGATAACTTTTGCATTATTGAGATTATCGTTCAATATCTGGAATATATTCAATTTGGGAAGGCATTTCATGTTAAAAAATCTTCAGGGTATTTTACTAAACCGTGTTCTCTGTTGACCAAATGATTAAAACCGAATTAAAAACAAATTAAAAAAATTAACGCATTTTTATAAAAAATTATGGATGTGCCCGTTTTCGTGCCGGTGAGTGTATAATATTTATTGTAAACTAGTCACAATACGTATAGCGGAGTGTAGTTTATTTTATTACAAATTTCTATAAAATAAAATTTTTTAGTCTTAGATCCTGACTTACTAACAACAATAATTATACATTAAATTTTACTTACTAGAAAAGAAAATTTATTTTTTATAGAGTTTTAATGTTAGATAAAGAGTTGCTTATGTTATTTTTTTGTTGAACCCCAATTTTTTCATTGTAAATGTTTTTTTATAGGGTTCTAAACGCTTAGGACAGTAGCAGCATATATATCGTTCCTAGGGCCGAAAAACCACTTTCTGGAGATGGTGCGGTTCTACACTTTTTAAGAGATATTTCGCAATATTATGAGACTCTTTTTACTGATTATACTTTAAACTGAATATACTAAAAAGTGAAAAGTCGAAATTAAAAGATCATGGAATATCATGTACAGGGTTTTTCATTATATTTTGACCGCTACTTATATGCATTATTATTGCGAACACAAAAAAAGTTTAAAGTAAAAGCTTTGTTGTTTCACTTGTACCAACTAAAAATGTAATAACTGGCAGAATTGTATAAACAGCGCGCCTCCAACAAAATATAATTTCATTCTTTTAATGGGACATCCTATATATTTTTGTCATTTTAAGTAGACTTGCATTTCCTGATTACAAATATATATTTTAATTATTTAGTGACTTATTGCGCTATGAAAGCGTAACACATAGATAGCTATGAAAATGATGTTTCCAAGTAAAACAGTTGTTTGTTAATTAAAAGTTGTCAGTTGATTGCTTGTAATGGGTTATACTGTGGCCGAAAAAGTTAAGGTGAAACAACAAAGCTTTTACTTGAAACTTTTTTGTGTTCACAAGAATAATGAAAATAAGTAGTGGTCAAAATATAATTAAAAACCCTGTATATTCCCAAATCTTTCTTTATGCTTGTATTATAACAATAAAAAATCTGTTAACTGTGTTTTATTTTGCTCTTAAAACTATATTTAGGTATAATCTTAGATTATACAAACCTTAGATAGAACATAAGAAACTGCGCATAATCCCACTTCGAAATTATGCTTACCCACCAATCACAGTTAAGGACATCACATGTCAGAGCATTGTTCGTCCAAATTTAATGTGTCAACGAGAATTAATTTGGTATTTTAGTGACTTAAATTTTGGAAATTAACATTGAAAATGCCAAGATGTGTTGTAAAAAGCTTTATTTATAATAAAAGTACGAAGTGTAACGGCAATAAAGGAAACTTAGATTTATTTCGGTGAGTTATGTAATTTCGAAAGATTCTAGTGACGGCCATATTTGTTTATTTGAAAATAAACAGAACCGAACTTAATCATTGGTACATGTTATAAGTAGCAAATAAAGGTTATTATTATGAACTGTTTCTTGTTTTATGGGGAATCTTTTTTCAGTAAGTGGAAAGAGTAACATCCAATCAAATACAAAAATATTAATTTCATTACCAATTTATTCGTTTCAAACTTCACAAATGGTTTTACTAGTTTTTTCAAAACTATTTATTTAGTATTTCTCTATAATATTATGGGATCGATCCATTTATTTAGATTTTGTTTAAACGTTATTATTTATAAGTTAATTTTCTTTAATATAAATACTCTCTCTTTATACAAGGTGACCCAATGAAAACTTGGTGCTTTTAGGTATTAATATCATGGATTTTAAAAAACGCTCAAACAGATCGATTTTAGTTAAAGGAGGACATCTTTTTATCATATTAACTGTTATACGTCATTCATCTATAATCCATTACTCTGGCCAATGCCAGTTAAATAGGAAAAGTGCCAAGTATGACACGTTATTGTTATTATAATGCAACATTTTGTGAGGTAAGATATAATTTATTTTTCTACCATCACTATCCAAAGTAGGCTTTTGCAAATTCAAATCTAACCACAAAGTTGACGTTTTCCGCGAATTGTCATAATTTGACATTATTGACGCTTGTCTGTTTTCATTTAAATTAAATAAAAGAAAGCTAATCGGTAAGTATTTTAAAACAATTAGTAGACTAATTTAAAATATATTTTCTAATTTTGACATATAAAGTAATAAATTTTGTAATCGCAGCAAGTGTCAAAACGATATAGTTGCATAAAGTAGAACATTATGCAACTGATTACGAAAAGTTGATTATGTCACCAGTTACAAAATGAAAATTAAAAAATGCCTCTTATTTGGTTTTAAGTCAAAAAATCGAGAAGTCGAGATATCGAGAAATCGAGAAAACGAGAAATCGAGAACACCGAGAAATCGAAAAATAAAAAATCTGAAAATCCAAAAACAAAAAATCGAAAAAATCAAAAATCGAAAAAACGGCAATGAATAGTGACATTTCACATTTGAAAATTTGACATTACGTTTAAAAACAAAAAGAGAAAAAAAATTAAAGCTGTAAATTACGTTTTATTTTTTAAATAATTAAACACCGTTATTGAAAACTGCCCAGAAATATTAGGGGTAAAATTCTGACGTACTCCTTTAAGGATAACGTTTAAAACAGTTTTTTTTAATTTCCCGCGGTTAATGTCAAAAATCAGATCAGCAACACTGCACATGTTCCTTATTTTTACTATTACTATTAAAAAAAAACGTCGTAGAGCAATCAATTTTCTGAAATATTTGATTGGAAGTACCTACAAAAGAATGGTGGTGAATCAAGTCAAAATTAGAAAAAAATCTTGTATATAATACGTTACGAAATGCCGTTTTGTGTAACTCGTTCATTTTGCGGGCTCCGCTCGCCTCGCAAATATTTACTCGTTACACAAAATAAGACATTTCGTAACTGGTTACATAAATAACTATTAATTGACTTCCTAGTATTTTAAATCATCGAACATTATTTCCCGTAAATAATAAAATGATTAAATCATAAATAATTACCGGCTAACATTTTTTCTCTACAAACAGTAGGTTTATATCAAATAAACTTAAAATATTACAACGAAAATAAAGATAACTCATTTCTAATAAAATTTAATTATTTATTTTATTGGTGTGATCGTAGAAAAAATCTTGTGTGTAATTCGAGCAGAAAAGTACTTTGGCTATTTCGATAAGTTTTTGTCTCAACAGCTAAAGTGTTACTTTCTGCTTTTAATACACAAATAGCTATTTTGTTACAATAATTTTATAAACTTTTTGCTTAGGGCCGATTCCACCGTTGTGTTAAACGCAAATTTAAAATACTAAACGGAGATTAAAACGGCATTTTTATATTAACAAGAAACGAAGTTTAAATGACATTTTTACATTAACAATGTCATTTTAATCTTCGTTTAGTAATTTAAACTTCGTTTAACACAACGATGGTATCGATCCTTAGCTTCTAGCTATATATTGATAGAGTATTATTGCCTTCATCATAAATGAATCGTACTAACAAATGAAGTCAAAAAAACGTCTCATAATTTTTCATCTTTTAACTACCAAAATTAGGTATTACAATACAAATATTAATTCCGGCCCAGAACATCTCCCTACTCCTTCCACCCAGCTTTTCGGTTTTGGCAAAATTCGCGCAGCGAAAATTGCTCCCTATGTTACCTCTAACCTTTCTAACCTCTTTGGGTGTAATTGAAAAAAATTTAGACACAAAATTGTACTTACCAAATTTCACTATTTAACAAATCTTTTCGAATTTGGTCATATCTACCTTATTTACATTTTATATATGGATAAAATTAAATAATTTGTCAATTAAAACATGCGAGACTTATTTAGAAATAAATACAACCATAATTGTTTATTTTTATTATTTTGACAAAATTATGTAAAATTCCCATAACAAGCCATGTATTTTAAACTGCACTACTAGCACCAGCAGTGGTGTAGCCAGCCATTTTTCATGGGAGGGATTTTTGAAAACTATGGGGGGTCCATTAGGAAAAAGAATAAAAACAGTCAATAGCGATCAGCGCCAATACTATAGCGGAAATGGTGACGCGAGGACCCACCATGGGGGGTTCTGACTCACCCGTGGCCACGCCACTGAGCACCAGCGCCCTTGCGGTGAATTAAAAACGCTCAATTAGCGTTCGGTTTTTGGGACCGTATTTCTAGTATGCTCTTTCGTCTCCTTATCTCTAGTCTTCATAACTTCTACAAAACATTTAATAGTTTCCCGTTTTTTTGACACAAATAATTTTGCTCATTATAAAAATGAGTTTTCTGAAGACATTTTAAGATTTCTTAAAAATAATTATGAGATGATATTTCTAAGCTTAAATCTGAATCGAAAGTTTTATAGAGTCGTGAAAATTTTTACAACAGTGCGGGTGTTGTTGCCATTTTACAGCTACTGTTACAAATAAAAATAGGTGAAACGTTTTCGGAGAGTATAAAATGATTGAAGATTTTATGTACTATTTCAATGACTACATTAGAAGGTAAACGGTGCTAGGCCGCGCCGCGCGGCAAACTTTCTGTCTCAAACGGCAAAGTATCACTTTTCGCTTTTAATACACAAATAATAGCTGTGATTTTGATATCGGTTTTATACTTAGTGTTACATGTTAATTATATCCACTGGTTTTAATTAAGTGTTCCGTATTTAATATATTTGATAACTTTACAGGAAAGTCGTGTGTTGGACGTATCATGTTGTTTATTTATTAATTTTAAAGATACAAAATATAAAAATAATAAGTACCTTTCAATGAAAATAAATTCTTTCCAAATAAGGGGTCAGATTCTTCTGTTACAAATGATCTGTGGTCAACAAAGTGATCAAAATCTCTGATGCAAATTTGTTTAATCAAATCTGGATCTTTAAGAATCAAAGTTGGTAATGTAAACTGGTACGCTCCCAAATATCTAAAAATGCGAATTCATTAGAAAATTATAGGCACAGACTCTAAGCTATTTCAAAAATGGTGGTATACTTAATGAAAATAGCCTGTTTCCTGATCAATATCATGTCCTATTACATGCAAATTTAAATTGGTTAGGATTGGCATATAATATGCTAAAGTTATATAAAACATTTATTTATTAATCATAATGCAAATTTGGAAAATTTTAAATACTGGTGCACTCCAGATTTCCAATTTAGGACCTCCTCTTTTCGTTTTTTTTTATCAAAGTGAGTTATACATATTGTATGTATTGTTTTGGATAAGAGATTAAGATTTACAAGGAGTTGGACATTATTTGTCCTTGTCCACCGCGACCTTTTTAGTTCTATTGTAGGACTACGCTTTTTTAGAGTATGTCTTCTAGCTTGGTCTTTTTTATTAGACTTAGTAGCTCCAGCATGCAATTGCATGCGTTTGGATTTTCTTCGCCGTATATTAGAAACACCATTCTATCCAGGTCTTTATACTGGCATAGGATACGGATTGATGTTTCCTCTTCTTCTTCACAGAACCTGCACAAAGTTGCTTCTTCTGCTGGATTGATGACACTCTTTTGCCTTCTAAGGCAACACTGTCCAGGAAAAAGACTTACTGTTATCCTAACGATTTGATGTTTTTGATCCAATAGGTCTTTCGTGAACTTGGCCGATGGTTCCTTGATGAACTGTTTAGCCTGTCTCAATCTTGGATAGTTGTTTCACCATTCCTGAGATTTGTTTGCATCCATTGTTTGATGGATGGCTTGCACAATGCCTTAGCAACTTCACAAAATTGTTTGGGGCCTGTCATGGCTTGTATTGGATATCAACATCGGAGAATGAGTACCAATATTTTTAACATATTTTGGAAATAATTACCTGACTCCTGGTATTGCTTTGTATACTCGTTCTACCATTTCAGCGAAACTCTCTAATTTTAAAAGTACTCTCCAATTATCTCCTGCTATCCAAACTTTACTGGTTTGTTTAACGCCTCGTTCTTTCCAATATTTCATTGGTTTCACACCACAATAATAGAGCATAATAGCAATTGCTGCTATTATTAGTAAAAACTGCAGCATATTTATTTACTTTTATTAGCAATCTGGAACATAAATATTATAAGAATAAGTAAAAGTTATCCACACTTACAACTTTTGATCAGAAAATTTTATGATTTTAAACAAAAAAACATCATTGAGTTTATTCTTGAAGGCTATATCCCTGTACAGACCGTCCCATTACCGACCGCGACCAAAAACTACCTGCTCGAGTGCCACTACCGCCCGCGCAGGGTTTACTTATTTTTTGTATATCCCACTCATAGAAATAGTATAGAAAGCCGATTCCATATATCAAAAATGAAACCATAAGGAGAAAATAGTGTGTCGGAGCTCATGCGTATAACGGTGCTGGCGCGAACAGGACCGGTGCAAGTTTTTTATTGATCGAACAAATAGTTCGCACGATATTTCAATCATACATTTTTAGAGATGATTCTATACAAAAAACGATTAAAAAAATTTCAAGTTAAGGTAAATATGGTTTTGACAGTCCTTATTAAGAAAGATATGGCATAAAATATGAATTAGTTAATTTTCGGCAATCATTAGTAGAGTAGTCATGAGATTTTGCTTGTGATTTTAAAAATACTTTCCAGAAAAACCACGTGCTCCGGTTTTGACTACGTTTATTATTAAACAGCGAAATTATATACAAAAACTTTAATCCACAATCTAAATTAGGTACTATCACAAGAAAATCAATGTTACAATAATTAATTACTTAACCAAAAACTAAAATACTTTTTAGGTACCTACGTAACCAGAAAGGAGCTGGACCATTTATCCTAATATTGATTTTCTCTCTCCCTACGGTAAAACTTAAAACAATAACAAATTGCCTATCTACTAGGGTCGGTAACTAAACGTATATACATAATGGGCGGATTTTGTTTATACTTAACATTACACTCGCGCATTTAAATATAACTATGCATATAAATATTTACAAACAGAGATACTTTTCCAAACAGGCAATCATTAGTACTGTAGTCACGAGATTTTGCTTGTGATTTGACATCTTATTTGATAATATCATTTGCTACAACTAAATTTAATCTGGGGAGTGCAAAATAGGGCCCAGGAATATTATGTTCGACATTTTTTTACATTTTGTCAGCCGAGACTATGAGTCGTTAGACAGAAAACCTTTCATGTTTCCATTTTCAATATAAATTGAAAAATTAAAAAATACTACTACATTTACTTGGTACATATTTTATTTTAATTTTGAACCCTTTTAAAAGGGTCTTTCGGTTCCATAATAAAAATTAGTTGCTGCTTACTAGAAACATTCTATATAGCCTAAACCAATTTATAGTTTGTTTTCGATCAATTTAATACAAAGATTTAAAGTTTTTAGTCGATGATAACATTCCACACCAGCACATTGCAAACCTATTTTATAAATAATAGGAATAAACTTGTAAATCATTAATTTGGTAGTTATCTCACTCATATGATTTTTTTGTTTATATGAATATTTCGATTTCTAAATATATTTTGGCCTTACAATACGAAGCGTTTTGTATCTACCACTTTTTTAATGAACGATGAATGTTGACAGGCGTGTACCTTTTTCGGAACAAGAGGCGTTTTAACGAAGGAAATGATTTTCAAACTATCTAATTAGTTTTCGGAAAAATAGAAAACGTTTGAAGAAAGTTGTCAATAACAGTTTGTCGTTCATGTGTTTCATTTTGGTCAGCTTTCATACTAAATTGCGTAGAATATTTTTCCGATTCAAAATCGAGATTCTCGATATTTCCACAGTTTATTTTTAATATACCTTCTAAACTGGATTTATCTATCATTTTATATACTTTATAATATATGTTCATGCCCTACTTTTCACTTTATTAACAATTTTTTTTTAACATACTTCAAAATGGTAGGATATTCTCCATTCGTTGAAATATTTTTTTATGTATGTTGAGCGATAATTCTTTACCACGTTGCCCGATTTCTAGGATTCTTTTTGTTAGAAAAGGAAACAGTTTTATATACATTAAGTCAAGATCTGAAGATGGGATCCATAAAAAAATCATTAACATCTTTATTTTTAAAGTAGGTTTTTTTTTTTAAATTTCTTTAAACTTTACTGGTTCGAACGCCGTAAGGAATGAAGAAATGTAAATAATTGTTGTGCCAGCCAAAAAACGAAGAGGAAGTACCGATTAAAATATCGAGTGACAGAAGAGTTCCTAAGATTGTTGAGATCGGGTTTATCTTTTAAAATGCCTTAAAACCGATATCGATAATGTCTCCCCGTCGCTGGGCAGCCTGTATATAAATATACAGATCTCTATTTACATAATTATAATTCTTAGGTAGGTTTAGATTTGCAGACATAAATCTTGTAATAAATATAACAGCTGCCTAATACATTGATTACATTTTCATTAGCCAATGTAAAAATGTCTTTTATTGTACCTAGGATTTGACTAAACACTACACAAAACTAAAAATAAAATGCCACTTTCATCGTGTAATTAATGCCGCGTTTGAGAATCCACATCGGATGCATTTTTTACATCTCCAGCGTTTTTTATCCACATCGGACACATCTGTCCCATTACATTTACGTATACTGAATCACGTGATCAAAGATTTACTACTTACTACATCTCAGATGCATCCGATGTGGATTCTCAAATGCGGCATAAATAATAAACTACAAACGGTCCTGTAAGGGCAGCGTCATATAGCCTTGAAACACCGGATTTTGGTGCTATTGCCAGGTCAATATTGAATTTGTAGGTGAATCGCTTATTGAACATTAAAAATACGGTATTAATGACATTAATACGGTATTTGTATATATTTTTGGGAATGTAATTACACATAAATATTATTAGTTGATTATTTAAATGTTTATAAGTTATTTTGTGGCGATATTTCGTAGATATAAACTGTTTAAATCATATAATTTAAAAATTAATTAATTTAAAATTCTTTTCTGTTAGGTATGTTTAATATATTTGGCAACACTACAGGGACAAGTCATGCTTATTGCGCAAGCTTCTAGACACACTATTTTGCGATGTCAGGCGCAGAGACGCGTTTTTATGCACAGTAGGTTTCAATTTCTGCTTAAATGTTATGTTTATATTGGTCTTCTATATTATTTCTATGATCCCACTACCGACCACGAGATTCTATCACATAATAAATATGTTGTAGTTCTGAAAAGAACTGATTTTGTTTTAGTAATTTACATTTTAATAATCAACTTGCACGTATTTTGGAGGTCGTTTCTTCGGAGATATGTTGTTTTCGATCCTCTGTTGAACAATATCGTAGTAATCTGGATAATTTCTCAATGAATTTATTAGTTCAATTATATTTGGATTTGATTTTCCAATTAATCTATTTAAACGACTGTGCCAGGATTCACAAACGTTGGTCGTCCTGTGTCGCTCGCCGTGACAAATCCACATATCCTTAATTGTTGCATTTTCTAACCATTGGGACACAAAATAATCATTATATTCATTGATTTCTTCAATAGTGGGTGCAGATTCCATTATATACAACCATCCAGCATCAATGAATTCTGGAGGTAAATGGGCTAGAGCCGCCGTAAATTTTACATGCCTTCTGATATCGGGATCGACTTTGTATTTATTAGCAAGTCCTAAATTTTGGACTTTCCTCCATAGACTTTGGTTAAAATCAAAATTGCATCCTTTGAGCTTACAGTCTGGAAAAACTTCCCTAGAAGCACTTACTGTTGAAGTTTCGAAATCTATTTTCAACTGTTTGGGTGTAAAATTTGGAATACGGTCTTTTACCAATTGTAATAACCTCATATAAGTTTGTTTCTTCCTGTCTGGCAACAAGGTATACAATACTGGTCGAGTACATGTGTCTTCTTCGGTGCTTCTTAAATCCACATGAAAAGTATACAATTGATTAAATAAAGAATTGCAACTTTTAAATGTACCATCTCCAAAAATAGTGCTGCTTGATGCTAACGTATTAATGCCCATTTTACTTGCAAATCCAATAATTCTGTCAGTAGCACCATCATCAAATACTAGGAATTCTTCATTTATGTGACTAGAAATTACAAGATCTTCACGCGTTTTTGGTAGTTGTGGTATTCCCAAAGATTTATTACGTTGTCGGTATAAGGATAATTTTATACTTTCATACTGTGGCATTTTTGTCACGAACTCTAAGCCTTTGTCTTTTGCTTCCTTAAACCCTTCTTGATATATTTTTGGTATTGGTGTCATTTCTTCCGCAGCACGTTTTCTTCATATTGCAATGCATTTTTCAGTATCTGTGTATGCCTCATTAGGAGCTTTTAGACGGTTGTGTGTAAATGTCTTTATTATTTCATTTTCTTGATTTGTTGTGATTCGTCCACTGCAATCTCCGTTTACACATTTCCAGTTCTTACTCTGGTTTTTGTTGGTCCTATTTAAAAAATACTTGAATCCTCCCCTAATAACTTTACCACATTACCTTTGGAACTTTTCAAAAATTCTACCTTATCCATGATTACTATTCAAGGATGCAGTTGAAACTAAATGCTTCATTTACTTTTACGTCCTTAAGTACTAATTATACTCATCGTTAAGTAACATTATTGGCTAAAAGACCAATTGTGGGTGGAGCTTTCAATTGAATTAAGATGATTGATTTCTAGATGTATCTATGACGCCTATGATTAGTAAGTATTCAAAGTTATTTTTGATAACCGAGTCAATTAATTTTCTTACTGTTCAATTATAAATTAAATAATAATAATTAAATAAAATAAGAATTCGATGTATCCTTATCAATAATTATTAAAATGTAAATTACTAAAACAAAATCAGTTCTTTTCAGAACTACAACATATTTATTATGTGATAGAATCTCGTGGTCGGTAGTGTGATATACAAAAAATAAGTAAATCCTGCGCGGGCGGTAGTGGCACTCGAGCAGATAGTTTTTGGTCGCGGTCGGTAATGGGACGGTCTGTAATGGCACTACACCATTCTTGAAAATAAAGATACTATATAGTAATAAATAAATAGGACTTATTTGTTTTCTCGGATATCTCATAAACTGGACCTTATATTTTGAAACTTACACAATTGAAAAAGACAACATTTTCCCGTTTAGAATAAATATTTCTTTAAAATGTTTTTAATGGCAATATTTTAATTCCGTGTTTGGAATTCCTTATTCCAACACGGAATTTAATTTTCGAACTATACATTTAAATGACGTATTAACAGGTTACTCTTGGGTGACTTGGGGATCTTGGACAGGGATGGGTAAATACGAATTCTTTGAATATCTTCAGATTTTTACTTTTGTCAAATTTTGAAAAGAGGGATGGGGTAAGCAGTACCAAAAATCTGGCCCTTTTTGGCCCCTGCATAATATTTTTCCTATAATTTCATTTCCAGATCAGTCTTATTTCTTAGGGTCTAGTCCCTGATGTCCAAATTTCATTTGAATTGGATTAAAATAGCGTATAGCATTTTTAATTCACCCTCCTTGCCTCTCTAGTCCAGATGATAAGAAAGGGGTAAAGTGAGGTGGTGTTTTCTAAATCCAATTATTAGTTTTCCCAAAAAAAAAGTGAAGGAATGGAGGACCGGTTAAGAATTTTTTCTACTAAATGGTACTATCAAAAAATAATGGTGCTATTTAAAAACCTGGTATTGACGTCATATTCCAAAAAAATTATGACACGTCATAAAAATATACTTATATCAAAATATGCGCATCTGATACTCCTAATAGTTTTGAAAACCTAGAAATAATGAAAAATCCTAAAACTTCGTCAGGAGGTTGCTTGAATGCACAGTTCTTCTCCTATTTTCTCCACATTGTTTTAAATAGAAAACAACTTGTGTGCAACAACAATTATATTTCTTCTTCATTTTTCATTTCTTATTTCGCTGATTATTACTGCCCTTTTCGTTATTAATCTTTTCTAAATTCCCCAAGAATCTTTCCTACACGTGGTTTAATTTTTAATTTTTTCCCATACTATTATTAAATTTCGAATTTTCAAAATTTCTTAAATCTGCCATTTCGTTGTCACAGTTGTACTAACTCCTCCTAAAATTAAAATTTTTCCCCCCAGATTAGTAATTTGTTCATGGGTTAATATAAATAAATATTATTATTTTTAAACTAAAACTATTCATTTTTTGGTCAAATTTTTCATCTTATGTCCCCACATTTTTTTAATTCTTTTATTTTTTCGTTTTTTAGTCATATTTACAATTTTTAAAAAAGATTTTGTAGTTCCACCTAGTGGAGATTTTTTGTTACTTATTATGAACATAATTTTTTGAAATTCATTAAATACTAGTTTCGGCCACTACCTAATGGAGGGCAGCACCTCTATAAATTAAAAACTATTTTTCAAATTTGAATCCTTCAAACCATTTCAATGTTCATTGACAGTCTCCATTTTGCTTTTGTAAACATTAAAAACTTTGGCAGTTTTTTGATTTTGTAATGTAGTCTCATTAATATTTTTAGTATCGTTATTTTAACATGTGACGTTTTAATTTTAATATGTTTTTAACCCTTGACAAATACCAATGCTTTTTTAAAAAATAATATATGTTCAGTTCGTCTCCATTTCTTCAAGATTGCAATCTAGTAATTTTATACCTTGTGGATAAGATATTATGAGGAGTTTTTTTGTGTTTTTACTTTCCTATCTGTATACAGATAACAGATATAAGGAAAGTATAGAAATCATGATTTTTTTTGACTTTGAGTTCTCGACGGATTTTTACGTTTTGAGGTCCCCTGAATCCGTTTTGACTACTTTCGCGATGATGTCTGTGTGTGTGTGTGTGTGTGTGTGTGTTTGTGTGTGTGTGTGTTTGTGTGTGTGTGTGTTTGTGTGTGTGTTTGTGTGTGTGTGTGTTTGTGTGTTTGTGTGTGTGTGTGTGTTTGTGTGTGTGTTTGTGTGTGTGTGTGTGTGTGTGTGTGTGTGTGTGTGTGTGTGTGTGTGTGTGTGTGTGTGTGTGTGTGTGTGTGTGTGTGTGTGTGTGTGTGTGTGTGTGTGTGTGTGTGTGTGTGTGTGTGTGTGTGTGTGTGTGTGTGTGTGTGTGTGTGTGTGTGTGTGTGTGTGTGTGTGTGTGTGTGTGTGTGTGTGTGTGTGTGTGTGTGTGTGTGTGTGTGTGTGTGTGTGTGTGTGTCTGTGTGTCTGTGTGTCTGTGTGTCTGTATCCACCATAACTCATGAACCGATACACAGAAAAATACCAAATTTTAAACTTAAGCTTTATTCTAGCGTCCAATGAACTGATTAGATTTTGGGCAGAGTCGGAATATCTGGGGGGGTACTTTATGGGTGGTCATTTTTATATTTTATGAAATATATCTGTTATTTACGTTTGGAGAAGAAAATCCTTCAAATAAAAGTTACTTCAAATATTATTATCTATAATTTTTGTTCCATACAAAATTTTCCTAAAATGGTCGATATTCGATAAATTTAACAAAATGTAAAAAAAAATATTTTTTATAAAAATTGTTCAAATAAAAGTTGTTTGTTATATAATTTTCTATAATTTTTATCCAATACGTTTTTCTAAAATGGACCGCATTCAAGATATTTGTAATGTGTAAATTTTGAATTTTGAAGAAAACTCAAAAACGGATAAAGAAAAAAACATTAAATTTTAAACTTAAGTTTTATTTCGGCCTGACGTGAAATGATTAGATTTTGGACAAAGTCGGAACATCTGGGGAGGGGGTACTTTATAGGAGGTCGTTTTTATATTTTATGGAATATATCTGTTATTTATGTTTTGAGAAGAAAATTGTTTTAATAAAAGTTACGTCTATTATTATTATCTATAATTTTTGTTTTATGTCAAAATTTCTTGAAATGGTCCGTATTCGAGAAATTTGACAAAATGTGCAAAATTCTGATTTTTATGAAAATTGTTGAACTAAAACTTGTATGCGACATCGATCTCTATAATTTTTTTTTATACATGATTTTTCTAAAATGGACCGTAATGGAAAAATTGTAGGAAAAGTGCTAAATTTAAAGTTTTCGGTATTTTCGTTTTCAATGGATATCTTTAGAAAAATGTTTCGAGGTAGATGTATGTGTAAAATGTATATATTTAGTTTATCCTCTAAACATTTATAGAGGTACTGTAATAGGTTGTACAAAATAACCAGAAAAAGCTTATAATAACTAGATAGGAAAGTCATGTGTTGGACACATCAGATTTTTTATTATATTATATAGTCATTTCTTTATTTTTTACCATTTTGGTGTTGATGGTTTGTTCCAACATATTTTTTCAATATTCATTAACAAATTTTTTTCTTTTTCGCCTTTTACTTATTTTCGGCTTTTTCATTCAGTTAGTACATTAATTTGATTAATTATTTTTGTTAGTGTGCATAAATACATGTTAGTAGTAATAGTATTCCATCATTTTTGAATTTTAATTTTTATCATCAATTGTCCCATTTTCTCTTACCCACTAGGTGTGCCTGATGATGAAGTCAACAAACTTCGAAACCGGTCGTCGTTTAAATACAAATTTCTTTGTGAAATATAAAGTACCTGTTTTCTTTCTTTTTTCCACCTTTAATCCATTAACTCACACATGGCTACCCCAAATTTGGATTTTATTTTTATTAAATGTTCATAATAAAATTTTACTTTTAAGTTCATGAGTGTCAACACATTTAGATTTTTTTGAGAAGGAATTGCGTCAAAAAATTCAGATTCAAGAACCGGGCACAAGAAAAAGGACCTACAAGATATTTAAAATTTAAAAGTGTCTTATTTTAAACATTAGAAAGAGATCTTCTAATATTATTTGAGATATTACTGAACAATATTTTTTATTTAAGCTGTTTGTTAAATTAGGAATTATTTAAATTCTTTTTAAATTATTTCGTTCGAACTTGATTAATTGTTGACATGCCTTGGCATTATTATCCACCTTTAAAACCAATTTTTTTGTTAATTTTAATTATTGTTCATTGTACTCGTTTTTGAGCTTTTACACATTTTTATATAATTTGAGATTTTAGATCTTTGATATTAAAACAATTTGTTTAAAATATTTGTAATTATGTTGTCTATACAATTTAAAGGTGAAGCTGTCACTCTATTAGTATCATTGCGAGAGATAAACCAAAATATTTTAACAAACGTTCAAAATTGAAAATAAATTCAAATTGTGATTTAAAATTAATTATAAATCGTCTAATATATTATATTTATCATACTTTTCTAACAATTTGTTAAAATGGAAATAAGTTATTTTAATTTGATAAACTTTAATGATTAAGTTCAATATAATCTTTTCCACCTTCTCAAGCTTCAACAAACTTTAACTGAGCAGCAATATTTAAACAATATTTTTATAAACGGATATGTTTATAATAGCTGCGTAATCTAAATAGGAATTGATAGTAAAAATGTTCCATGATTTACATTCACCTTTTATATTTCTAAATAATAATCTTTTAGCATAAAATAAAAATAAACAGATACTCGTACAAGAATTAGAAGAGCGTTTCTTGTAATTTTATTTAATAAAAAATTACTTACCGTATTTTCTGCCAAATCAAATCTTTTACACAAAATAACATATACACATTAACACAAAAATATTTGAATTAAAAGTAATATACATTTGTTAACAATATTCATAATATATTATCTACACGGATGTTGTACTCTCACTGATATGAAGGACCAAATGTCATTAAGAACTTTATATACACCCGCATGAGATAAAATAAAATATATATTTAGGGTGGTGAAATTAACTAAAGAAAGTGACGATGCAATATCTCATATAATTTCCGTTACGCTATACTACGTTTATTATAACATAATGTACATAATATTTCCTAATTTATATTAAGACCAAAGCGATCACCATGAATTAATGGGTGTATTTATTGAAATTCAAAAATATTTTATATATATATACGCATACGCAAGAAAGAAGTCTTTGCTGACTCGTTAGGAAATTAACTTTGGAGTTATTGGATTTCCAGCAAAAGATATGTGTAGTCTTATAAGTTTATTCCAAGCTTTCGAATGTGAATACATTCATCTTCAGGGATCTAGAAATATTTATTAAAGGACCTAGTTAAAATTGAATGATGAACAATTAGTTAATGTGTTTACTTATAACTTAGTGAGATTGGTTCGTGAAATTGGTGAAAATTATTATAGTAATTATGACTAGACTAGATATAAACTGACAAGAACATGTTAGATGATGCATTGAAATTATTAATAAAACTTTTTTTAAATGATTTACAATTTTAAAACTAACTAGTCGAACTATTAAAATTATTTGAGGTTATAAATATTTAAAACATGTGCTACTGTCAAGTTCATGGCGCATGCGTCTGCTATTAAGTCAATTTGCCAAAAATAAAAAAATACTTTAACTGTGGGGGACTAATAAGGTCCTACAGCCAATTATTTCAAATCAAAAGGGTTGATGAAGCTAATGAGACTGTATTCCCGATAGGGTTGCCAGACGTCACGCTTTTGGGGTATTTGCTTGTATGCCCAACGCCACAGTACAAAAATGCAACACTTTTAAAAAAATGCCACGCTTTTGAAAAAAATGCCACTGTTTTTATGCAAATGCCACGTTTTTTAATTGAAAGCCGCAGAGGAATCGGATTTATACAAAACTAGACAAATTTCCGGGTAAAAGATCCTCATTTTTACGAAAAATAAGCTGAGGACCTTTTTTCTTTTTTTAGAAATGTTCACAAAAATGGACCTGATTAAATAAAAATGCTTGATATTTGAACCTAATGCTCTGTCGTCACGGTTATCACTTTCGGAAATCTGGCAACCTAAATTCCCGACCACCCTTTCTTAATGGGAGACGCACTCTGAAACACACACATGCTCTAGAATCCACAAAGTCCTATCTAAAGAGGGTAGTGCAAACCAAGTAGAATTTCTCAGGAAAGATGATGAAACCTATACAAAAACCTTCAAGGAAACGTTAACAATGCTCACAGAAGTACACTTTCCGGCCGCAGAAATTTTGCTAGGCCCGATAGTAGCATACATCCCTCAAAGAAGGTCTCGCAGGCCAACTTCTTTGGAATAGAGGCTAGCTATACAAATATCGAGGCCGAACAAAATTAGATGGGCTACAAACAAATTTCAACCATACAAATCCCCAAGAGTAGATGGAATATATCCCATTCTACTACAAAAGGGACAGAAAACTTTAATTCCTCATATGTGTCGCATATTTAAAGCATGTATAGCATGGTGACATATATCAAAGGCGTGGCAAAAGGTGAAAGTCATATACCTTCCTAAAGTAGGAAGGTTTAATAATATGACACCAAAGTCGTACCGCCCAACCAGTCTATCGTTATTCATGCTGAGAACGCCAGAAAGACTAATAGATATATAGGAGACGAAATACTGATGCATATCAGCCAGGCAAGTCAACCGATTTAGCCCTGAATGATCTCAACAGGCTATTGTCAAAATCCCTGGAGGATAAGGAAATGGCAGTAGCAACTTTCATAGATATTGAAGGAGCTTTTAGTAATGCCCAAACAAGATCTATAATTAAAAACCCTAACAATAAAAGGGGTACCAGTAGTTCTATGTCAGTGGATAAAAGCCAGCCTAGAAGAAAGGGTAATAACATCATCTCTATGCAAAGCTACACTGACAGCTAAAGCAGGCAGGGGCTGACCCCAGGGAGGAGTACTAGCACTCCTCCTCTGGTCAGTCCTAGTGGACGAACTCATAAAAAGGTTAATATCTGCAAATTTCTACTACCTAGGGTATGCCGATGACCTCGCGATCGTGGAAAGAGGCAAGTTCGCAGGTACAATATCGGAGCGCACATAAACCGCTTTAAACATTGTTGACGAGCGGTGCAGAAAGGAGGAACTAACAGTAAACCCTCACAAAACCACAATAGTCAACTTTACAAAACGAAAAGTACTAACAGGACTAAAGTCACCAGTACTGAAAGTAGTGAAGATTCCATTTGCTCAAGAGGCCGAATACTTGGGAGTCATATTTAACCACAGGTTAACATGGAATCAACACTTGCAAAAAGTCACCTAGAAGAGCACAACATCCTTCAACTTATGTCGAAGGTTGTGTGAAAAAAATTGAGGACTACAACCGAAAATGTCCTTATGGTTATATATCAGAGTCATAAGGCCGATGATAACCTACGGGTCGGTGGTATGGTGGCCAAAGACTCTGCAAGCTAGAGCCATTCGACATCTCAATGGTATTCAGAGATAAGCATGCCTGAGTACCACGGGAGCTATGAGAACAACTCCAATAGCAGCTATAGAAGTCATGATAAACCTAACACCACTACATATATTCATTCATTGCGAAGCCAGGTCTGTTACATACAGACTGCACAAAGGTTCACCCATAAGCGGGTTTGCATGGCCGCGACTACAGCGAGCTATATAAAGAGTTGGAGAACGACCAAATAATGGGAATGCCTTCAGATAAAATGCTCCCAAAGTATAGCTTTCAAAAGCAATATAAAGTAAGTATGGAAGGAACTATCACTAATACTGAAGGCTCTATTTTTCATTTATTTAATCAAATTGATCTTCACTGAATGTGCATGGTACGACTAATAGTTAATGTATCTACCAGAACTGATAGGTTTTCTATACGAGTATATCATCAGTAGATTATCCGTACGTATAAACTTAGTGTCTATAAAGGGGATAGAGTTGTAATTATCTTCCTTTTCTGATGCAAATATCAAGGTATACATAACTAAAAAGAGAAACCACATTGCTATAAGGTTTGTTCCAACACAATAGCAAATCGGTTTACCTATATTTTTATTTTGTTAGTTTATTATTTATGCGAAGGTGATAAATATTCTTTTATCGTAATCATATGTGACTTGGAAATATTTTTATTTAAGCTATAATGTAACATAAATATATGACAATTTATTAGAAGAGGATAAATTGTATTTTTATATAAAAAAATTTACTTTTCTACAACATATTGAATAAAAAATATATTGACCTACTTGTTTAACTATTATTAAAGGATGATATAGAAGTTAAAAAAAATTGCATCATTTTATATCGTTGCACTTATTTTTAGATAAGTTTGTCTTACTTTGTTGTATTAAGTTAAACAACCAATGTTTGTATTTAAATTTTTTAGAATTTTACAAATGTTATTCTTGATTATGGATATTCAAGTTAGGTAAGCAGATTTTATAAAAACCAATTTATGTTTTATATCAAGAAACTCTCTGCTACATGAGAGCATCATCTGTGATTTCTCTCAACTTTTCTTATGGGTTTGTACTTGAACTGATGGTTAGATTTCCAGATACATTTAAGCCTGTTAAACAGAATGAACTGCTTGAATTTGATGTTTTTTTTCCATATAGACGTACCATGTACCTAGGCTATAGATTATATTTTTTATAAAATTTCAGATGTTATGTTCAGGGGCGTGCGGTCCATGGAAGCGGGGAAAGCACCGCTTCCCTACACTTTGAGATTTAAAAATAAATATTTTTCAGTTTACAATGCATAGAAATTAATATTAAATTAGGTACTATATTTTCTCTGAAACATTAAGTAAACTTCGTAAATGTACTAACAATTCATTGGTGTAATATGTAAATGCACGCATCACCCATGAGAAAATTAATTGTGTAAACGCACACACTATATACTTCAAGTCCGTCGGCGGAACCCATCTTGAAAAAGCCAGCTCATCTTCAAATTGATTTCGCTTCGTGTTATTAACCCTATTTTGCCGCGACAGTAGTCAGTCTGTTTGCACGTGAAATACGGTCGAGAGTCAGCGATTTTTACGTCGCCTTACGCATATTGCAATTCGCACCTCGAATCGACGTGTGAGGAAAATCGTAGACTTCAGATAGATTTCGGTTTGTTTCTCGTAGTTGTTTTTCTTTTTGTAAAATGGAGGAACTATGCACTGTGCCTGTGAACAATAATAATGTGGTAAGTTGTGTCTGTATTGTGTGCTCTTTATTGAAAAAAGAATTTTCAAGTGGAAATTTTAAAGAGAAAACGGACATTATTAATTCTAGTAGACTAAATTTAGAGACGAAAGTAGAAAAGTCAGCAAAGAAATTTACCAGGCATTTTCACGTAGGGTTCTATGAAAAGTATGAATGATTAACCGGCTGCAAAACTTTGAAGAAATTGTTTTGCTGGCCTTGCCTACTTTTTAATATAGCCGAAAAAACACATGGGAACTCAGTCGGTACTACAGACTTGAATAATATTCACAAAAGTGTAAAACCGCATGTAAATAGCAAATCTCATATACACTATTGGACAAAAGTGAAGCAACTTTTATAGTAAAATAAAATATTTAATTATTTAAAATAAAATTAGCAACCATGGAAATTAAAAATAATTTAATTTAAGTGGTCATAGTAGGCTGCAGTCATATGTGACATGGGATTGTTTGCAAATGTCAAATAAGTTAGTATGTAATAATTTATTTCAACTAGACCTTTTATTATCCCATTTCACCTATCATAGCAGCCTATTATGACCACTTAAACTACATAAATTTTGATTCTCACGGTTGATCGTGTTATTTTAAATAATTAAATATTTGATTTTATCATAAAAGTTGCTTCACTTTTGTCCAATAGTGTAAGTGCTACAATTAAAGAAAAAACGTTCGGGACCTATCTCATTGAACATAGTTTGGACAATCATTTAAAACTAAGCAACAAAATTCACAATGAAAGGTTAAAAAAAATAGGGACGTTTTACAACGATTAATAT